CTTAAAGTGTATATAAGTACGTGTCAGGTCGTGTTACTATTCCTCTTAAAATGTATAAAAATACGCTGTCAGGTAGCATTCCTGTTAAAGCGATTTATCAATATCAAATTCATATAACTGTATATATATACATGTATTAATTTGTTTTTAGTATTATTCATTTATCTTTGTATATATTGCGTCTTATTTTCCCGTTAACAACATCACTAAAAAGGTTGCCATCACAAACCTTGATTAATATGCTACGATAGTCATTCCTTACATAAGTTTTATTAACAATCACGTAACAGAAATCACGTCATCGCAGATTCAAAAAAACAATTTCAAAGGCACGTCCCCTTTAAATACATCGGGAACACTGTCTAAATTGTTGCTGTAATGTCAAATCGAGAGACATACTAAATTATTACTTATTCATAAAAGATAGTCTAATGTTAACGTTATGATAGCATAAACTAGTTCAATTTTTCGTGGTCATTAGAATAGGAAACTTAAGCAAGAAAAGTATTAACTCATTCAACGGTAAAACGACAGAAAATACAGTCCGCGTCCAAGCCTCTATCGAAGTATTTAGCTCGTCTGCAGACCGTTTTGATCAATGACCCTCCATGTAATAAATAAGTCTCACTTTGTTTGTCGCGAATGCTAAGCAGCCCGCCACTGGTCCCAAAGGTAATTTCGACGCTTCGTCCGTCCATACCTCTCCAGGCACCACAACCACTCCTCAGTAATCACCTGACGTCGGCGTAATCTCGGGATAAAATGTTGATTTTCTACTTGAAACCTATTTCATTAGAGTGTCTTCCCACCCTTCACATGTCAAGTCAGCATACGGTTCTCTCTGATCGAATTTTATAATATCGGAAATGATGTGCTCAAATGAAGTAAACCAACATATTACCACGGTCATAATAGCACTTTCTGTGTAAGTTGACGTGTAGTAAATAGTGGGTAAACGGACTCTAAACCCGGACAACTCTGATGGCGGATTGCATTGGTATGATCGGAAAAGGGTTATGGCAGTAAATCAAAGCTCAGTCTTCTCGTTTAAAGCCGAGACTCCACAAACGCTACACGAACACTGCTTTACAACGTATCATTTTAGAAAAATGGCAGGATCTAATAATTCATCACTGGAGTGATAAAACAAAAATTAAGTGTTTTCAAACGTTATTAGGGACACATTTGTTTAACCTCCGAGTGCATATGCATTGAAGCCTGTCTTTAACTTGTGCGTTAGTGACTTTCTTATCTATAAATGAACAACGAAATCATAAATCACTAATTGAAATCAAGCACATACATTTGCTGTTAAAGACAGCCTAAATCTGTGTCTTAAAATTGGTTCTGTTTACACACAGTTTGCTGTTACGATAAGTCTAAATCTACACAGTTACATGTTACGATCAGTCTAAATCTCTGTCTGTAAATTTGTTCTGTTAACACACAGTTACATGTTACGATCAGTCTCAATCTCTGTCTGTAACTTTGTTCTGTTAACACACAGTTAAATGTTACGATCAGTCTAAATCTCTGTCTGTAAACTTGTTCTGTTAACACACAGTTACATGTTACGATCAGTCTCAATCTCTGTCTGTAACTTTGTTCTGTTAACACACAGTTACAATTTACGATAAGTCTAAATCTGTGTCTGTAATTTGGTTCTGTTAACACACAGTTACATGTTACGATCAGTCTAAATCTGTGTCTGTAATTTGGTTCTGTTAACACCCAGTTACATGTTACGATCAGTCTAAATCTCTGACTGTAACTTTGTTCTGTTAACACACAGTTACAATTTACGATAAGTCTAAATCTGTATCTGTAATTTGGTTCTGTTAACACACAGCTACATGTTACGATCAGTCTAAATCTCTGTTTTTAACTTTGTTCTGTTAACACACAGTTACAATTTACGATAAGTCTAATTCTGTGTCTGTAATTTGGTTCTGTTAACACAGTTACATGTTACGATCAGTCTAAATCTGAGTCTGTAACTTTGTTCTGTTAACACACAGTTGCATGTTACGATCAGTCTAAATCTCTGTTTTTAACTTTGTTCTGTTAACACACAGTTACAATTTACGATAAGTCTAATTCTGTGTCTGTAATTTGGTTCTGTTAACACCCAGTTACATGTTACGATCAGTCTAAATCTCTGTCTGTAACTTTGTTATGTTAACACACAGTTACATGTTACGATCAGTCTAAATCTCTGTTTGTAAATTTGTTCTGTTAACACACAGTTACATGTTACGATCAGTCTACTCTGAACATGTGTACAAGTACGCTGTCAGATCGTGTTAAATGTACTTATATACATTATAAGAGGAATAGTAACACACTCTAACAGCGTACTTATATACATGTTCAGAGGATAGTAACACGATCTAACAGCGTGCTTATATACATTTTAAGAGGAATAGTACATTTAACACGATCTGACAGCGTACTTGTACACATGTTCAGAGGATAGTAACACGATCTCACAGCGTACTTATATACATTATAAGAGGAATAGTAACACGATCTAACAGCGTGCTTATATACATTTTAAGAAAAATAGTAACACGATATAACAGCGTACTTATATACATTATAAGAGGAATAGTAACACGATCTGACAGTGTACTTATACACTAGTAACACGATCTCACAGCGTACTTATATACATCTGTGTATTAACATAACAAAGTTACAGACAGGGATTTGGGCTGATCGTAACATGTATAAATCTGTGTCTGTAATTTGGTTCCGTTAACACACAGTTACGTGTTACGATCAGTCTAGATCTCTGTCTGTAACTTGGTTCTGTTAACACACAGTTCCATGTTACGATCAGTTTAAATCTCTGTCTGTAGCTTTGTTCTGTTAACAAACAGTTACATGTTACGATCTTAATATTGCTATAAAAATGTATATAAGTACATTTAACACGATCTGACAGCGTACTTGTACACATGTTCAGATCGTGTTAAATGTACTTATATACATTATAAGAGGAATAGTAACACACTCTAACAGCGTACTTATAAACATTTTAAGAGGAATAGTAACACGATCTGACAGCGTACTTGTACACATGTTCAGATCGTGTTAAATGTACTTATATACATTTTAAGAGGAATAGTACATTTAACACGATCTGACAGTGTACTTATACACTAGTAACACGATCTCACAGCGTACTTATATACATCTGTGTATTAACATAACAAAGTTATAGACAGAGATTTAGACTTATTGTAACATGTAACTGTTTGTTAACAGAACAAAGCTACAGACAGAGATTTAGACTTATTGTAACATGTAACTGTGCGTTAACAGAACAAAGCTACAGACAGAGATTTAGGCTGATCGTAACATGTAACCTGTCGTGATGAACGGGCACGATTTGGGGAAATTGTTCATTGCCGTTTCTAAGTCTAAATCTCTGTTTGTAAATTTGTTCTGGTAACACACAGTTACACGTTACGATCAGTCTAAATCTCTGTCTGTAACTTGGTTCTGTTAAGCCTCAGTTATATGTTACGATTAATCTAAATCTCTGTCTGTAACTTGGTTATGTTAAGCCTCAGTCACAAATTCAGGATTGTTACTGCCGTCCTTGAAAGGACCGCTCCCGATTAAAAAAATCAAAAGTCGGATCAAGATCGTGTGATTCGTGGCGGGAAATTCACAATCAGATATTGTTCAGGAAGCGTCCTGACTCAGCCGTTTCCAGCCGAATTCGTCATGATTCTCCCGTTCTCAATCCGAATCTGATCCGATTTGTAACTTCCGCATGGTAAAAAACGACCGAATCTGTCCCGACAGCGTCCCGATTCTCCCGAACGCGTTTCCGACAGAGATCAGAGAGTGACCGGACAGTGAACCGACGCATTCGGCAACATCTGGACGCAATCTGGACTAGAAAAGCTAGAAACGGCAATGAACAATTTCTCCAAATCTTGCCCGTTCATCACGACAGCGTCCCGATCCACACGACACCTTCAAGACACCGTCCAGACAAAACAGGATATTGTTACGATTTTGATCCGATACAGCAGAATCTGTCACAACATAGTCACGATTGTAATCCGACTAAACAAAATCGGCTGAGGTTCCCGAATGTTACGGGACGCACCTAACTGTCGGGAGTGCTTGGCCGACCTCTCCGGACCCTACCGATCCGTAGGACTCTGTTACGAACGTATACGACTGCGTTCAAACAATGATAGGACATTCCAGATCATTGAGGATAGTAATTCGACTTTTTCGCTTTTCGTATCGTAGCGCTGTCTGATCTCAAACGGGAACCATGCGGATCAAAATCGTAACAATATCCTGTGTTGTCTGGACGGTGTCTTGACGGTGTCGTGTGGATCGGGACGCTGTCGTGATGAACGGGCACGATTTGGGGAAATTGTTCATTGCCGTTTCTAGCCGATTAAGTCCAGATTGCGTCCAGATCTTGCCGAATGCGTCGGTATCATATGTTGAAAACTTTAAACACCTTCTTTTGAATCACCAAGAGACCCAGGCTGAAAATATTTGGCCAGTAGCTTGCTGGGATGAAGAGCTACCAAGTTTGTTCAAATAAATAACTTTGCCCATTTTCAAAGTCACAAGGGTCAAATATGTTTAAACTGTTAAACAACTCCCTCTATGTATGTAAGGCTGCCTTCGTCTATAACTCGGGCATGGTTCTTACTCGAGTGTACTAAAAATAGATTTCAGACGCAGGGGAAGGTCGTATAAGGAACTCACGATTTCGGAGAGTTGGGCGGGAGTAAAGATGGCGGACATCAGAAAGGAATGCGACATGTGAGTTAAGATAATTTTGTATTGTGACGAGTTGAAACGTTCTACAGTAACATTTTTCTATCATGAGTGTTGAATATTTATATATATTTACATTCGCTCCCATTGAAGCTGTGTAAACCGTGACTGCGTATACATTACCGTATACGCAGTGAGATTCCTTGGAGACCATTGTTTCCTATTGATGACGTAATTTATATTGTGACGTCATAATGGTAACGTTGGAGATCCATCGCTGCTCGCAGGCTGTAGGCTGTTCGTTTGTTTGAATTTACGCACGTTACGGAGGTTTTGTACCAGTATAAAAGCAAATGTATTGGAGTTAGCTTTATTCTGAGTGTACCATCATAGTAGGCAAATATGTAAATATAAAAATTGATCTTCAGTTTCACTGCGTATACGGTAGTATGAACGCAGTTGGCGACGAACATATTCTTTATGGAGCGCTTACGCGCTCCATAGAATATGTTCGTGGCCAACTGCGTTCATACTACCGTATACGCAGTCAAAATGAAGGTCAATCCTTAAATGAATGTATTACCAGTAGACAATCCAGGTTGTCGGGTTAAATTAGGGCGTGGATTGTAGTACTTAACATTATTTTTAGGCCTGATTCCCGCCGACTTGTCAAGGGGAAAATTTGTGTGTAGATCATGTGTGATCAGTTAGATTCGTCAGCCCTACGTGAAGCCCGAGCCTGATAAAGTTAATATAAACCAGTAGGCCTAGATCTATATATCATTCTCTACTTTTTTTTAACAATAGAATCTTCAGTATATCTAGAGATCCCTTTTATCTTTGAAGATCTTTTTTTTTTAGGGTGAGAATCCAAGAAACTAATGGTGACAAACCCCAAACTTGCCCAAGTTCATACACTGAAGTTGAATTGAGGGCAAATGGAGGAAGATACCGTCTTATGTGTGACAGTACCACAGCAAAACTCGTAGATTCAGGAGGTAAATATATAGGCCTATATATACACGTATTTAATGTAAATTTATAAAGTCAACTTAGTTAAAAGTAATCCCAGACTTTAGGCCTTTATATGTATGTTTCTAAATATTTTAAATTCAAAAGCAGACCTGAAAGTTAATATTCGTTAACAGTTTGATTTAAAAAAAGGTATCAGATAATGAGAGAAGTAATACAATATACTGTACGTTTATTTTTAATCCGAAATATGCCACCACAATAACTGAAATACTAAAAAGATTGCCATCAAGGGCAAGTGCTGAGCCTCAGGAAGGTTTTTCAGGTATGTATCATGTAAACTAGCCTGTATTCCTGTAGAATGTGCCATAATCCCCTACAAAAATGTTTGCACATTCTTAATTTCACAAAATTCAGTGGCAAAGAAAATTAATCAAAATCAGTAAAATGCTAAATTAAAGGAGTTCATATGATAATGTAGTGTGTGTTGATCCTTGACTCATGCATGGCCAAATGTATTTGGTTTAGAAAATCTGAGACATGTACTTGTACTATTTGTATTGGACAAAATGCATATGATAAATAATGCATGAAACATTACTGTATGTATCATTCAATAAGCCCACCCATGTCTATTACAGTTAAGGAGAAATGCCAATAAATGGTATTGCAATGCCCTGCAATAAGCCCCCTCCCCCAATTATAATAAGAGTTTATTTGTTGGCCCCCAGCGCTTATTGCAGGATAAATACAGTAAGATGCTGAGCAGGCAAAGTATTGCATATGGACCAGGTGTGAAGTGTTACTCAAAAAACCAAGCAAGTTAGGATGTGTTATAACTGGTTGACAATCATACTTTTTCAGAAGCCAGTACATCAACCGTAGAGAGATCAAGGCCTACTGCTGTGACACCAACAGGTATTTATTTATGATTGTGCTTTATACATTGAATTTTGTAATAAATTATAAGATACCAGATTGCAGAATTAAAGTGAGCTATCTTTCTGAACAATGTTCTCCAAATGTGTGTGTTCAGAGATAGGTATATTTGCTTATTTATATTTTTCAGTTAATACCACTTGATCCAGAGAAGAAGCAGAACAGAAAAGTGTGTCCAACATCTCACCCAATGCAGGTGTTGTGTATAGCATGTTCCACTAGACATGACCTCTCACTACTAGTATCCATACTGAGGGGCCAACAAAATTACAAAATTCACCATTTACAAAGAGTTCCATTAATACGATATAAGAGTGTTCGTTACCTCCCCCTTTCAAAGTTAAGGAAGACGGGTTTTATACTGGAGTCAGGTTGTTTGTCTGTTACAATTATTCCAGACTATTAACGTTCTAAACTTTGTAAACATATGAAATGTGCTTGTGTGACTGCCATGCTGTTACGGCCCATGCTAACCGAGGTATGGCTGTAATACACCTGTTGGCCAAACAACATCTTCAGCTTTTACAGTGTTTAAAGTTTATTAGAAATTAAGACGAATATATGTTTTACTAAATATATTATATTTACAGGCGATTAGAAGCTCTGGAGAAATGCAGAAGCACTCAACCTTGTCCTGCTGAGATTGGAGAAAAATGAAAAATTTCTGAGTGGCAAATCATCACACAGTGTCTTGTGGAACGAAATAAGTAAGAACGTTGGAAAGGCTACACCAATACAGTGTATCAATAAGTGGAAAAAACATACAGAAAACATACATGCATACCAAAGACCAAAACTCAAAAACTGGTAACCATCCTCAAACTTGCCCCTTTTATGAAGAACTTAATGCTGTCTATGGGTGCAAAGCCTCAACATCCCCTAGTGTTACAATTGATACTCTGGGCAGCCAGTCGGATACATATTCATAGTCATCACAGCACAAGAAACTTACACCAATCATTACACAGTGCCTTGTATGACGAAATAAGTAAGAACGTTGGAAAACTTAATTAATATTGTTGCAATAAAGTACTTTCCATTATTCATGTGGTTTCTTTTTGTTCAGTTCCATTAATTCGGAACTCAGAATTATAGTGTGTCATTCTAGAATGACACACTATGTTTGTGTCCTATTGACGAACAAGCTGCTTAAGAAACTGTTCCAAACAGCCATGCTTTTGACAGCACTGGAAAACTTTTAGTCATCATGGACAGATATCTAGCCAATACATTTTCATTCCAATGTGTGCAGCTATGGAAACAAATATTTTCACTTTGTTGATGTCATGGTTAGTGACCAAATTTTCCTTGATTTGATGTTAGTCATCATGTCTGGAGCAGTAGAGCAGAACGTAATTGGCTATTACAGAACATGCCAAACATTGAATATTTCTATGAAGTGGCAATATACTTTGACAATGACACAAAAGCATTTGTCCATTTATTAGATCTATATTTCAAAGAGGACATTAACAAAATATGTAGATAGTTCTTCAAGATATATTCCAACTAACATGTCAATGGCATACTTATCTTCTAGGGCAATAATTCGAGAAGCAAGTTTCTTCTTGCAACTCCAGCATTGGGATTAACACCTGCGTAAACTAAGTTGTTCACAGGTTGATGAGCATCTGGTTCGATGTAGTCATTAATGACATCTGGCTCATTTACAATACAGAGGTTGTGCAAGATGCAACCAGCCATTATCATGGCACATATATCTGATGGGTCACTTAGTGTTATTTCCCGTAGCCTTCGGAATCGGCCCTTCATGTGTCCTATATCCCTTTCAACTGACTGCCCTACTGATGACACAACTTTATTGAATCGCACGTTACTATTGAGCCGTTGTCTGAAGGATGTAACAATATTATCTGACAGCGGGAAAGCAGAGTCGGCAAGTAGGTAATGGTTAGGTAGGAACAATCTTTGGGCATCACAGGGAAAAGCTGAATTACTGTACACACGAGCATTATGGGTAGCACCTGGCCAGCCTGTGTAGGCATGAATTAGCATCAGGTCTTGGTTGACGACTAGCTGCAACTGCATAGAGGGACAGCCTTTCCTGTTAAAATAGTTCGCATTATTACCTGTCATATAAAGAAATTGACTTTTTCATACCAACAATTTCAATTTAGTTTTTGAAAAATGGATACAAATTTATTTGCTTTGAAAAGTAAAGCTTCATACCTGGGGAATAAGCAAGCGTTATGTGGGTTCCGTCTAGTAGACCGATGATACCAGGCAATCCAGATACATTTTGGAAAGCTGCAGAAGACTGATTCTGTCTTTGCTGATCAGGCTATTGAATAATCTAGAAGAAAACATGTACAAGTTTGTAATTTTAAACAAACGAAACTAAATTAAATGACACATTGTACTTTTGTTGCTTTATAACATTCTTGGTCTGGGCACCGGTAAGGGTAGCTTAAGGTTGCTCGCGGACTTATTTTTTATTATTGTATACTGATTTTGTTTATTATTTGTATTCGGTGGGTCGGTGCGCTTCCAACATGTAGCATAACAATACTTCATGTAACGTTAAGCCTACTTTATAGTATGAATTGAGGAATATCAGATCAACGTATTCCAGTGGGTACAGTCAAGTTTGATCTTAAAACTCCAACCAACCCCACTTCCTCATTAAAACAAAACGTACCCATTGCATGTCAGAAAAAAGTGCAGCCATACATTTATTGGTACTATAAAGGGAGTCTCGATTCTAAATGCTATAAAGGGAGTCTCGACTCTAAATGCTATAAAGGGAGCGCCATTTTAAACACTATAAAGGGAGTCTCGATTCTCAACACTATAAAGGGAGCCTCGATTTTAAACACTACAAAGGGAGTCTCGATTCTAAACACTATAAAGGGATACTCCATTCTTAACACAATAAAGGGAGTCTCAATTCTAAACACAAAAAAGGGAGTCTCGATTTTACATGTAAACACTATAAAGGGTGTCGTGATTTTTAACACTATGAAGGGAGGTTCGATTCTTAACACTATAAAGGGAGTCTCGATTCTTAACACAATAAAGGGAGTCTCGATTCTAAACACAATATCTC